TACAATCTCAATGTACATGAGATTTGGGAATGTCAGTGGGAGAAATCCAAACAAAACGATTCTGATGTCGAAAGCTTTTATGAGTAGTTATAATGCACCTGCAAGGCTTAATCCCAGGGAATCGCTTTTCGGAGGTAGGACTAATGCACTCAAGCTGTACCATAAGGCCAGCGAAAATGAACGCATCTCCTATTTGGACTTTACATCTCGTTATCCTTATGTGCAGTCATGTAAAACATACCCTATCGGACATCCTGAAATAATTTTAAAAGATTTTGAACCAGTCGAATCGTATTTTGGTCTTATTAAATGTACCGTACTCCCTCCGCGTAAACTACTCCACCCGGTTCTACCTTTCAAGTCTCCAGAGGGTAAACTATTGTTTGCACTGTGTCGCACCTGTGCTGAGGCGCAATATCAGGACCAGTGTCAGCATGTTGATGAAGACAGAGCCATTTCAGGCGTTTGGACATCTGTTGAACTTTCCTGTGCTGTTGTTAAAGGCTATTCAGTCGTCAGAAATGAGTAAGCCTGGCATTTCCCCCAGACATCAGACACATTATTCAGTGAGTATGTTAAGACGTTTCTCAAATTCAAACAGGAGGCTTCAGGTTTGCCGCCAGACATAGTGACAGACGCAGACAAGCAGACTTACGTCAAAGGGTATTTTGAGAAGGAGGGTGTTCAGCTCGACATCGATAAAATCACACTCAACCCTGCACGTAGATCTATAAATACATTTTTATTGAACTCACTTTGGGGGAAATTTGGGCTTAGGTGTAATTTGCCTACAGCAGAACTTTTAACAGATCCCAAAGCTTTCGCCCGTCACATCTTCGGAAATGGCCACATCATTAAACACTTCTCATTCGTGTCAGACTCAGTAGCGCTAGTGCAGTGGTGTTACGCAGACGAAGACCCCGCCCCCGCGCGTGATGTTAATGTGTTTATTGCAGCATTCACCACTGCATATGGACGTTTGAAGTTATACAGGCTTATGGATCAATTTGGATCTCGTGTTTTTTAAGTAGATACAGACAGCACCATCTTCATATCGAAAGATGAAGATTGGACACCTAAAACAGGTGCATATCTTGGCGAACTGACGGACGAGCTTGATGCAGATGACTACGTCACCGAATTCGCATCGACCGGACCGAAATCGTACAGTTTTAGATCAGGTGGTGTACGTGCAGAAAAGACCACGGTAAACTTTGGTGAAAAATGAGTGATAGACTTTGTAAAAACCTTCCTCTTTTAAAACTGTTATATAAGGCTTCACCCAAGCAACGACGTGTTATTTTACAGTCAGCGTCAGATCAACTGATACTGTCCTTGTGTGAGATTGCTCTTAACGTGCTCCACGGTAACATACCTCTAAACACCAAGCAGTTACGAAGGTTAAAAAGAGAAAGAGGAGATCAAATACACAGCGAGTAAAAAGATCAACATTATGAGAAAAAAACGGATGATTAATCAACGAGGTGGTTTTCTGGTACCTCTGTTAAGTGTGGCAATACCGTTTATCACTAGTTTATTATCGTCCAGATAACATTAGGCATGGAATATGCTGAAAAGCTTTACCTA